ATATATATATATATATATATATATATATATATATATATATATATATATATATATATATATATATATATATATATATATACATATATATACATATATATATATATATATATATATATATATATATATATATATATATATATATATATATATATATATATACATATACATATATACATATATACATATATATATATATATATATATATATATATATATATATATATATATATATATATATATATATATATATATATATATATATATATATATATATATATATATATATATATATATATATATATATATATATACGTGTGTATATACACACACATACACACACACACATTGAAAATGCGAACTACATTCGTTGTTCGCTTTTTCAACGTTATTTTTAATTTAGACAGATTAACTTAATGTTTGTTTTCATTACTGTTTCTTGTAAAAAGCACCTAGTGCACTTTTTTTTTAATAAAAACAATATTAAATTGTCTCAATATTTTTGTTTCGATAAATTGTCATAATATTTTCGTTTTGATTTTCAATTAATTTTTTTGGTTTAAAACCACCTCTTCCGATAAAATTTGAATTTCCGCTGCGAATCCAACAGAAAGCTAACTTATATTGACCCCTAAATATTGCGCCAGTCGCCCAATCGTCATTTTGCTCAACACATTCAGCAACTTTTCTTCTGTCATTTGTCAAAAAAGCGTAATGTTTTCTTTCATCTTGTTCGGTTTTATGTATTTCATGCCGACGAATTGGACAAGTTGGTTCTTTTTTTTTTTATTATTTACATTTATTTCTCTGTTTAATAAATACAATCAACTTATATATACAAAAAAATACATGCATATATCCATATTAAAATTGAACATCTTGTCACCAGGTACAGTTTTGTATATAAAATATAAAATGGAATGGATTTTTTAATGATCTTATTAAATAAAGAATTAAACAGACAGGGGCTTAAACAAGATAAGGATGACGAAACGTCCTCGCAGTCTTTTCATATAGCCCCTTAAAAAGTTTTAATAAAATATAGTCATTTTTATTTTAAACTAAAAATTCTAATTGTTCCAAAAGCAGATGTAAGCTAATTTAGTAAAATAAATGCTGACACGGATTCAATTTAATAGCAGACTTTCGGGTCATTGTGTATTGAAAAATAAAACAACAATTTTTCAATTCCATTATTATTCCTGGTGCATACAAATGCCTAATTTGATATTATTAACTTATTCAAGTTCATGTTTCAGAAAACCTTTTATAATGACCTATATGCTTAAATTGTGAATTCGCACTTACAAGTTATGCATTTTCATATACATATTACGATTTCTAAATAACAATTTATGTATTCTTAATTATATATCACGATTTCTTATTTACATAATGTGCTTCTCAATTATATTTTACAATTTCATAATTACATGTTGTTTTTTTCAATTAAATATTGTGATTTCTTAACTACAATTTTCATATTCTTAATTACATCTTGAAAAGGTGTAAACTAGAAAAAAAATTAATATTTATTTTATATAATATTTTAGATGTGTAAAATATTGGCAAAACTTTGAAATTGTTTAATATTGTTAACTATTGTGATTACACTATGTAACAAATTTTTACTTTTGTTCTGTTCCTGGGTTGAAATTGTGTTTTTCTTACCGTTAGGTCTAGAACAAAAAAGATATTGCTGTTATTTCAGAAAAACTTTGCTTCTGTGACTGGAACAATGAAATTTGGAAAATCGTGTGGTTTCGATAAAATTTTCAATTGTCTTTCAATGCCGAGCTTCCTCTTATAATATTACTAAACTGTTAGAGTTGTCAAAATGTTTCTACAATTCTCTTAAACACTCTAGAAAGTTTAAGAAATTTTCAGAACTTTTGAGAAATTCCAGTTCGTGTTATTGCAGACTAAAAGGATAACGATTCGTAGTTGAAGAGAAGTTATTTATTTAATATGGCATCAAGAGGTTATTTGCATTCAGCTGCTACGTGTGCGGGCAATACATAAAGACAAGAGCGAAGTTGTATTCCGTGGAAGCAAGTTGTATAATGTGCGAGGCTTACAAGGCATTCTTCGGCATGCTGTTCGGGGACCAAGACAAATTTTGGGCACCGCATTTCACATGCGAACATTGCAAAAAAACACATGAAGGTAAACTGAACAATTGCTTCTGACTCCTCCTAGACGGCATCGGCAATATTCACGAGACAGCAGCAAGTCAAATAGCGAGTCAGATACTCGAGATATGGACTACAATTTTGCAAACAAAGTTGGGGGTAGAAAACCGTACTTCCCTCACGAAAAAGACGTGAACAATTTAATTAGAGATCTAGGGATAACAAAATCGAATGCTGAGCTTCTAACACCCAGGTTCAAACAGTGGAACTTGGTTGATGATAGCGTACAAGTGACGGATTAGAGGCAGCGGGATCAAAGATTCTATTATTTCTTTAGTCAGCGTGATTGGGTGTGCTTCTGCAATATTGTTTCAAGTCTATTCCAGGCTGTTGGTATTGCATGTATTTCTGTTGAATGGCGTCTATTCATAGACAGTTTGTTCCGGAGTTGCAAATCCGTGTTGCTTTACAATGGAAACTACTACCCGTCTCTCCCGATGGCCCACCCTGTACATCTCAAAGAAGACTACACTAGTGTCAAAATGTTACTGATTGCATTAAAGTATGAAAACTACGAATGGGAGGTCATTGGTGACTATTAAATGGTATGATTTCGCATAGGTATTTAAAGAGGTTTCACAAAATTTCCTTGTTTCCTCTGTCTCTGGGACAGCCGTAACACTTAGGCGCATTATTGCACAAAGGACTTTTCACAATGGACCAAGTTTTCTGTTGGAAAGAGCTGCGGATAGAACCTCATAAAGTCCTCTTTTGACAAAGAGTCGGCAGCATTTCAATAACTTAAAGATATTTTTCCTAAACTGTCCGAGACTATGGTCAGAGCTGGTATATTCGTCTCGCAACGATTATACCAGCTCTGGAGAAACGTGGTGAAATATAACAAAAGGTCTTTTAAGGATAAAAAAGGATGAGTCTCATTTTGAGCGTATTTTCGACTACAAAATGATTGTGTGAATATTAGGTCTCAAAAATATATTGCTTACAATGAATTTGAGTGAAGTGTGGGTATTGTAGTTTATTCCGTCACCCGACTATTTTCCTTACTGACATTCTCATGATAAAATACAGAAGAAAATCGGGGAATAAAAATAAAACAAAAAACGTTTTACAAAGATGTCCATTGGATCCGTATATAAATAACAAACACCATAAAATAAAATTCATTAATAATGTAAAAATGAAAATTTAAGAAAAAAAGAAAAAAATATACGAAGTAATCACAAACATCTACTCTCAAATTTAATTTTCCATTTTTAAAAATATTTCTAACTTCATCTTTATTTTTGTCTTGTTTATTTTGTTGTATAGGCATGAGTAACTCATTTTTAAATTCAATTTTTTAATTTTTCCAACAAATTTGATTAATAAATATTTTTTCGTAAATATTTTGTTTTCATATTAACATCTCATTCTATTAAAATATATTTTAACAATAAGAAAAAAAATTATAAGTTTAAAAATATTAAAAACCAACTTTTCTCGGTCAGAAAAAAAATGCATTCCGATTTTTATTGGTTATAAAAATCTTGCACGAAAACAAGATGCTATTGAAAAATAGAAATAAAAAAATGTAAAAAAATAAAAAAATTAATGAAAAAATAGAAAGCAATGTTGTTAAAGTTTATCCTTTCGATAACAATAAAAAACAAGCAAAGCTGATAAAGATTATCTTTACGATTACCAAACTGACGATTATAAATGGCCAGCAGGAACAACCTTAATATGTGGAGACTCTGTCCTAATGGGAATTAACGAAAAAATGCATAAGTTTGGAAAAGTTAAAGTTATAGTCTCTAAAAGACATATTAAGGTTGTTCCTTAGAGAATTAGATTAGAATGCATGTCTTCCGTGGTGCTACCATAGAAGACATGCACAGTAAAAAAATTACCCGTTATAATTTTAAAAAACATAACGCTAGTTTTTGTGGGTAATTGGCGCTATGTTCAATGTTTAATTCGTATGAAAATAACATAACGGTAACTGCCGTCATGTTTTTTTCATACGAACTATACTTTGAACATAACGGGTAATTGGCGTTATGTTCAATGTTTAATTCGTATGAAAATAACATAACGGTAGCTACCGTTATGTTATTTTCATACGAATTATACATTAAACATAACGGGTAATTGGCGTTATGTTCAATGTATAATTCGTATGAAAATAACATAACGGTAGTTACCGTTATGTTATTTTCATACGAATTATACATTGAACATAACGCCAATTACCCGTTATAAAACACGAAAACTGGCGTTATGTTATCCGTTATGTTTGAAAACCTGATATAACGGGTAATTACCCGTTATGTTTAAGAAAAGTTTATTAATCTTAAAATATGCTTCTTTTATCCATAATAACCAATTCACTAAAAACAAAACTATATAACTCTATATATATATATATATATATATATATATATATATATATATATATATATATATATATATATATATATATAAATTGTTAGTTATAACTAATGTATGTGTATAATATACGTGTATACACAACTGGTTAAAATGAATTTTTTATAAAACAGTTTGCGCTGGAAAAAGACATTAACTGCGTTGTATACTTATGAGGAAAAAGGTTTTTTTCATTCTAAGAAACTCCAAAATACTGGTTCCTACGGAAATATTTACTCTGCTTGATATTGAACTTTTTAACAGAGTGAATATTTCCATAAATATCCATACATTTTGGATGTTAGATAAGATTTTTATCTTCTTCATAAGGATAAAATGTAATTAATGTCCAATGGCAGGTCAAATGCTTTGCAAATACTTTTATTAGTGTTAGTTTGTAATTATTATAAATTATTCTATATGTCGTGTAGTTTAGGATCATGCATATATATTTCAAATAAACTTTACATTATGTCATAGATTTACACATTCCGAAAAGAGTTCAACAGTGCAGTGCACTTTTTTGATTTAAAAATAAATTGTTCAAATTCACATATCTCTTGAAAAAAACCAAGCAGCTGCCCAAAACAAGATGGATATGATAAGTCCAATAAATAATACACAATAACTAAAATCACCACCATCTCACTGGTGCTGACTAATGGCTGAGTGCCCATCTCGAGACCATGTCTACTCCTTATGCCATACTCCTTGTGGTTAAAAATCACTTGGGGACCATACGAACTTGGCACTCTTATGTATTCTCCAATAGAGTCACACTAAAAAATATATAATAGTATAATAGTAAAATATTTCAAAAAACTATTGTGAAAATTTTAAAAGTACACATTCCAGTTTAAAATCATTTTCATGAAAAAATTAAACAAATACACAAAAAGAAAAGACAAAAAAGAAAATTTTCATGGAAACATAGACATGTATGTTGTTGTTTAATTCAAAATAAATTCAAAAATTCAGGTGATAAACTTACATCCACTTTCATAAACAATTTGTCACATGTCTTCTTGGAAATAAGTTTCTGTTGGAGCTTTAACAAATTTTCAGTGTGGTTACCAGACTCTGGAGAAATCCAAAATAACATTGCTTGAATCTTGATTATAACATCCTTGAAATCGGCATAAAAACGAATTGCTTCCTCCAGCATTAGTGTAGGAGCAAAACTAATTCTCTTCGGTATCATGCTAAATGTCTCATTATCAAATAGTTGTCTATTTAAAATGGACAAGATTGGCTGAGACGGCTTTTTTTTTTTTAATTCATTCTAAAATGAAAAGTAATAGTAGATTTTAAACATATACAAGAGCTATAAAAGTTACTCTAATAAAAATTGGAATAAATTAAGAGAAAACATTTTACAATATACAAGTAATATAAATATTTCTTAAATCCATAAATAACATTTTTCTTACTTCAACATCTTTTAATAACTGCTCTTGATTAGCTACCAATTCAGTCACAACAGGTTTAAGTTTCCTATTGTTATTTGAAACAGAAACCTGTGGAAGCCTTTTCACCTTTAAGCTGTGACACTTGGTATACTGTCGTTGTCGATAATTGTTTGGCAACTTTTTAAAAATGAGATCCTAACATAACCAAAATATAATCTTATAGTTTATAAAATAAAAGTAACAAAATAGCAAATTCATGAGGCTGTTTGCTAAACAAATGCATAAATTGTTAAAATAAACTTTTAAAAAACATTAACTTTTAAAATTTACTTAATAATAATACATAATACATTCACTATTTAAACCAAAAAGTACATGAACTTAAAAAGAATAAAATCTTTAAATGCAAAATTAATACTATCACTTTTAGTATGAACAAATTAGACTAACAAATACAATATTAAACATAATGTTTCACTAACCTATCGTTGACCATAACAAGGATATAAGCTGAGACAAGTCGACATTAACTTTGAAAAGAATGTTTTATGCAGAAGAACTCTATTTTCAATGATAGCATGAGTTGGGATATGGGAGAAGCAGAATGATAAGAGACAAGCCATTAATTCTCTGGCCACAATCTTATCTTCTACTACAGAATTGCTGCTAACAAAATGTTTAATGTGTGGAGGAAAAAAATTAATGAGTTGTTGTCTAACATCACCAACAAAAGAAGTTCTATCAATCTAAATCAATATGCAAGTAGATAGTAATAACATAATATTAGGAGAAACTCATTATTAAATTAGACACCATAAAAGTTTCAAATAAAAAAATGCAAATTTATCTTTAAAATAAAATATTTAGAAAAAGTTATAAACTATATTATAGTTTATAACTTGTTCTAAATGTTTTATTTTAAAGATACATTTTATAGTATAACACTTCTAAAGTCAAAAAATGTTTTTTATCAATATCTGGATGTAAGCCTGACAAAGGCACCGCCTATATATCGGAATTCCCAATTGAAAAATTTAAAATTCTAAAGATTTAAATTCCTAAAACTCAATTAACTTTAAAAAAAAAGAAGTAGTTGTATGACAATATATATTCCCAATATCAAATAAAAGCTATACAAACAAATATATATATATATATATATATATATATATATATATATATATATATATATATATATATATATATATATATATACACATAAATATATATATATATATATATATATATATATATATATATACATATATATATATATATATATATATATATATATATTATATATATATATATATATATATATATATATATATACATATATATATATATATATATATATATAATATGACGCAAAATAACATTTAAAAATAATTTGTGGCAATATTATTTTTTCAGTAAACTTTTGGTTGTAGTTTCTCACTCTGTAAATCGGTGCATATGTACTCTATGAATGACCGTAGCTATTTAACTACAAGTAATATCATGGCAGTGCTGGGGGTACAATATAGAAGGTACCAGCCTCTTTAAAGTAAAATGCAGGCCAAGGAAAAGGAATGCTTTCAGGTGAAATAGGTGTTGAAGGAATAGAAATATCTTCAATGCTACTAAAAAACCCTCTTATCTCATCATATGCAACAGACTGGAGCTGTGTTGTAATAAATAACTTTCTGTCACCTCTGACTTGTATCTCCTGAATTATACAAATAAAAAATTGTGAACCACTATGAAACCATAAACATGACCCAAGACAATAATGAATACCATTAACCTGAATATGAGATATTACATTTTTCTTAAAAGTTACTTGATCTAATTCACAGAGAACTCCATTATTCAACTCACCAGAAGAGCTGTAAAAAGATGAAACAGTGTTTAAAATCATCCCCTTTAGGGCAGTATATGGCATATTTTTAAAATTAAAATGTCTGATATTTTTAATTACTTGGTGTTTTCTCTCAAATCCCATGCACATGTGGTATCCTAGAGGACCAAATTGTCTGGATTGATGTGGATAATGTATGAGAAAATGAAGCTAAGGTATAAATTTTTCTGGATATAATTCCATAAAAAGTGTACAATAGGCAGCTATTTTTTCCTCTAAGCAAAATAAATAAGCATCAGTGGTAATAGGAGAAAGACATAGTTGAAGTATATGAAGAAGTTTAATTAGGCATAAAATATGAAGATCAATCTCAGTGGTTCTCAAAAAAATTGGCAAAACACGACAAAGAGATAACACCTGAGCACTTCCAAATTTTCCCTTAATAACTAAATCGACTATTATAGGTGGTTTTTCACTGTCCTGTGGATACTGAAAGCACTTTACAAAGTCATTTAGGCTATATAGTGTAAATAAACCTTGAAAAACAGCATTATTTAAGTAAAGTTCTATCTGTAAAGGAATTACACCTTCTAACAAATCGTGCATGAGATCAAAAAGCACTTGTTTTGTGACATCAAAATTTTTAATCTCTGATAAAATGCTTGCAGAATGAACACCATATAATTTTGACCATTTTTGACGTTGTTTGGGAGGTAGAAGTGGATTATTAAGTTCTTTGACTCTTATCTTATGTTCTTCTATATCACGAACAATACACTGAGAATGTCTATTATGAATAAGCATATCTGAACGAGTAGAATTACAAACTCGACAACACCTAAGAACCTTCCTGTTAAAGCCTTCCTTAAAACCAGCCATTGCATTACATGCTAATGAATCACCAATGAAGTTCTTCAATTTAACTGTGAATCGCTTACCCTTAGTATTGGTTAAAGTTGAAGAATCAAATAAAGATAGCTCATTTAGCGATTGAACTAAATCAAGCAGAAGTGATTTCATGAAGCTTTTATTTTTAACTGATTTAGAAACAGTTATTGATAAGGGAAATATTGAAAAAGTTTTACTGAGGCTATAATCAGCTACATTTAACAACTGAAAATACAAAACCCACAACTTGTACTTTCCTCTCGATTTACCTATTGGATTGGTAATACCTAAATCATCTGAAAACAATGAAATCAATATTTCAGAAGAATTCTCTTAACACTTATCATACTCAGGGGATATCAAAATAAACTTAAGTATTTCTTTAAATGAAATATAGCATCCCTGTAAGCCATTTTTAGATATAGATTCAACTTTTGGCACATTACAAGCATTTTTAAAGTACTGCTTTCTTGAATATTCTGCTGATAATTGCTGGCAAATTGTAGATAGCTCCTCTTTTGGTGTGTTATCAGTTAATATATCTTTTAAATTTGAAAAAACAATATTGACTACATTTTCAGAACAGCTATATTTTCCTCTCAGGTGTAAAGCTAATGCACCAAGCTTTCTATTCTCTGAAGGAATCTCAATGTCATCAATTTCTTCAACAGTGTCATCAATTTCTTCAACAGTGTCATCAATTTCTTCAACAGTGTCATCAATTTCTTCAACATCTTCAATCATAGTAATTGGAATGAGACAGTTTTTATAATGAAGTTGAAAACCTCTAACACTTTTAAATTTAGAAAAACAATTATCGCATACTACTGAACCTGCCTGACCATGTAATTTAAGATGAGATATTATTATATAAGGTCTATATGTTTTAAAATCACAAATACAACAATTTAACCTTACTTTTTGGATTGCATTTGTTAGTGGATTAGATGTGAAAGCCACTTGAGCAGTATAGGATGGTTGACTGGAAATGCCTGCCAATGAAGACTGCGAAAATGCACATTTTTGAGGTAAAGCTTCTTGAATAAAAACTGGTTCAGTTACATCTGCTGTGCTCTCTAGATTTGTCATGGGTAAAGATAAACACTGCTGTGGTGAAGAAGCATGAAAATTTTCAAGGTCGGTGTATACAGGGTTTTTAACAGGAGAAAAATCATTTAAACTTTGGCAAAAAGCTTAAATAAAGTTTAGACACTGGCAAAGACAAGGCCTCAACTTCCAGATTTTGCTCATTTAGAATGGCAACAAAAGTATCTTCATCGACATTACATCCATTCCATGTGATTCCACAAATGTTCCCACTTGTACTAGCAAACTTCTTGGAAACTAAAATAAAACACAACTTTGAAACTAAAATAAAAACAAAACATAAATTTTCTAATATTTTTTTAATAGGCTCTAAGCATATTTCAAATTTATTTAAAAAGAGTTTTCAAAATAAAAAGGTTATGTGGCATAACTTTGACACCAGACTTTGACAACCCCACTTAAAAGCAGCCACTTAAAATAAAACATATAATAAAATATATATTTATGTGTATAAATAAAGATAAATTTTATTTTATGTTGAAATGTATCTGTTTAAAGTGGGCAGTCTGTTTTTAAAGTTAACTTGATTATAGTCAAGTTTATATAAGTTAACTTTAAAAACATATAAGAAATAAAAAAAAACATAACTTTAAAAACTTATAAAAATTAAAATGAAAATATTAAATAGATATACATTTAAAAAAATTTACTAAGGCAATATTATTTAATAACAATAATTCTTAACAACAATCAGTAAACATTATTAAATGTAAATTTCTGAAATTTTTAAAAATAAATATGCATACTTTTATTCAAAAAATCAATAATACTGCTATTATTAGCAATAACAATTTTTCGCTCTCCAAGGTGCTTAACAAGAACAGCTTTGACCATTTTAACTTCTTCTTTGATTTTTCTTTTCTTTAATATATCAATTATGAAAGTAATGGCATTAAACCATGTTTTGTATAAATATTATTTTGTATAAATAATAAGGCACGTTAAATAATAAAATTAAAAATAAAATAATAATAAGGCACGTTAACTAATATAATATTTAAATCATATATTATATGATTTTACTTAGGGATTTATATATATATATATATATATATATATATATATATATATATATATATATATATATATATATATATCATATATATATATATATATATATATATATATATATATATATATATATATATATATATATATATATATATATATATATATATATATATATATATATATATATATATATATACAGTACTGTGAATATGTTTTAGACCACTTATATAATTAGTTGTATTTTTAATTTTTTTCCTGTGAATTTTTTTTTTTAAGCATACTTAAGTTGAGTAATATTTTAGAAAGGTTAAAAGAATATATTATCTTGAATAAATAAACAAAAATTTATGAGGAACATGAGGGATATGTTTGTTTATTTATTAAAACGATAATTGTCATAATAACTGCAGACCAACTATTATTTAGATGAACGCTTGGTGACCAAGCGTTCATCTAAATAATACATAAAAATAATATTTTCGATTTTTTTCTTACTGGTTTAGGTTCATATTCGTTCATTTAAGTTTTTAACAGTATAAAATGTAGTCATAGAGTGAATTTAATACGATAATAATCGGTTTTGGTACATTGTTTAAAAAGTTGTTATTTTTTATGAATACAGTTAAACAAATAGTTAAAAATAATTAAATAAAGTTATTAGTTTACATTTTTAGATTAATTAAGTGTTGCTATGGGTAAAATATCTTTAATAGAGAGACAGAAAGTTACTGTGCTTCACGAAGAAGGTAATTCGCAGCGCCAAATTTCTTTCAAAACAGGATATTCGAAGACTGCAATTAGAGAAATCATTAAAAAGTTTAGAGAAACTGGCTCCTTTGGAAAAAGAAAGAAAAGTGGCAGACCTCCTAAGCTAACAAAAGATGACGATAAATATTTAAAAATCCTTTCTTTAGGAAACAGGAAAAAAACATCCACCGAATTGGCAAAGGACATTAATACAGCAACTGGGAAAAATGTTAACTCTTCTTGTATTCGACGACACCTACTCAAATCAGGATTACGAGGCTGCGTTGCTATTCGAAAACCTTTATTACGGCGTGGCAATAGAGAAAAACGACTTAAATATGCAAAACAACACAAAGATTGGACCCAGGAAATGTTTAATCGGGTTCTGTACACTGATGAGTCCAAATTTGAAATTTTTGGAACGAAAAGACGTCAATATGTTCGAAGAAGAATAGGAGAAGCCTATCAGCCCGAGTGTTTAAACCCTACTATTAAACACGGAGGAGGCTCTTTACAAGTTTGGGGCTGTTTATCTTCATCTGGGGTAGGTGATCTGATCAAAATAGAGGGACGACTCATCGGGGAACGTTATGTGGATATTCTAAGACAGCATGCTATACCATCCGGAATGAGACTAATGGGCCATAATTTTATTCTGCAGCAGGACAATGACCCAAAACATTGTTCCCGAGTGGCAAAAAAGTATTTAAATGAAATGGCAGAAGAATGAATACTGGAAATGATGACCTGGCCTCCCCAGAGTCCATATTTGAATATAATTGAGCATATTTGGGATTACTTAGACAGGAAAAAGAGCAAACATGCTCCCCAAAATGCTGAAGAATGTTTTCAAGTACTTCAAAGAGAATGGCACAACATACCGCAGGATTTTTTAACAAATTTGTATGAATCTATTTTCCGGCGAATATCGGCTGTGATTCAGGCAAAAGGAGGACATAGTAAATTTTAAGGGTTTTTTTATGAAGTGTGACATTAAAAAGTTTGTTATTGTTCCATATTTTGTGTGAAATATATGTGTTTTAATAATTTTATAATATAGAATTCGAAACTTAAATATTAAGGAAGAATTCTCTTGGATTTTTTTAGAAAATGTAAGTGGTCTAAAACATATTCACAGTACTGTATTATATATATATATATATATATATATATATATATATATATATATATATATATATATATATATATATATATCAGGGGCGGATGCAGGATTTTTTGAAGTTTGAGATAACAAACTTCCAGACATGGAGCGAACTCAAAACTTTTATATGTTTATAGTTATACCAAATAAGGATACTTTGCATAAAATTGAGATGATAGGAGCCTGGGAACAAAATAGCCCTAAAATTTTTGCTACACCTGCCCCAAACGTGAGAGCAACAAGTTGATAAAATAATTCCTTTACTATTCTTAACTAAATCTATATTCATCGAGAAATTTTAAAATTCATACAATAATCTCTTAACGTTCAAAAGTTATAGCCACATAAAGTTTGAATCCCCCTCAATTTGAGGGGGTTACAAATTTTATAAGACCATTATTATTGAACGCTAAAAGATTGTTTTACAAAATTAAAAATTTCTCGATGAATATAGATTTAGTTGAGAAAAGTAAAAAACTTATTTTATCAACTTGTTGCTCTCACGTTTGGGGCAGGTGTAGCAAAAATTTTGGGGCTTTTTTGTTCCCAGGCTCCTATCATCTCAATTTTTTGCAAAGTATCCATATTTGATATAACTATAAACATATAAAAGTTTTGAGTTCGCTCCATGTCTGGAAGTTAGTTATTTCAAACTTCAAAAAATCCTGTATCCGCCCCTGTATATATAAACTAATGTTATAATTTTACTGGAAAACATTATGTTTTCCAGTAAAATTGATATATTTATTATATGCATTATATTTTACCGTTGTTATATATAGCTTATGCATTATGATATATATATCAACGATTTATAAATCGTTTTATTTTGCTACAAATAGTCAACCATATATTTTTTTTTTTTAAAAAAGTCTTGTGCAACGAATAAACAGTCCTAAAAGATTCTTTCATTTCGCGCTTTTTTTTTTTCGCGCTTTTTTTTTCTCCATAGATTACATATTTCCAATTTACCGTTATGTTTGCCGTTATGTTTACTAAACATAACGGTAAACATAACGGTAAACATAACGCCTTACATTTATATAAAAATATACAAATAACTGTGGCCAACATAACGCTTTAGACATATATATTACTAACATAACGGTAAACATAACGCCAAATTTTTCATTTACCGTTATGTAACCGTTATGTTAGCTTTATATTTTTTGCTGTGTGCATTATAATTTAATTCCTCTCTTAAAAAAATAATCTGTTAAAATTATTCTGCCTATGAACAAATAATTGCATAAACATATCGTCTGAAATCGCCTTGAAAAAACTAAAAGATCTTGTTTCCTTCATTTTGAAATCAAACCCAACTTGTTCAATAACCTTGTCTACACTGATTCGTCGATTCGATAATGCAAAAGCTCAACTTATCACGAAACGTCTAACCGATAAATTAAAACTGAGTAATTATAATATTATTGATAACTCAAATTTGTCTAATGAACACCTGGGGCTATGTGGCCTCCGCCTTAATACCCTAGGATCTGGTAGATTAGCTATGAACATTATTGCATATCTAAAGTCTATTTGATAGAAATTCCAATGTGATTTTAGATCACCAAAGATCTTAGTCTAAATTCTGATTTGGATAAATTAAGGGCCAAATATCCAAAAAAATGTCAGTCTAGCGTTTGCAAACATAAATTCGATCCGTAATAAATTTTTGGATATTACTACTTTTATAAAAAACTGTTGATATTCTTGTCATTGGTGAAACTATACTAAGTAACTCGTTTCCAACTAATCAGTTTTTATATTCATGTTATAAAACCCTCTACCACCTGGACACATCTCATTATAGCAAGGCATTCTTGTGTACATCAATAATAATATTCCTTCTAAAAGGTTAACAAAAAAGGATTTTTTTAATGACATTTGAATTATCACTTTTGAAATTAAACTAAAAATGCGGAAATGGCTCGTGATTGCTGTTTATAAACCCCCAAATCAGAATTGTGACAATTTCTTCAATTTTTTCAATCAATAATAAAAAGTTGCGCTTTCAACATTGGAATACTTTTTGTATGGGTGTGAGTGATCATTATCAACTAATACACAATGCTTAGATCTATGTTTTGTTAGTTACCAACTAATAAACTAACATATAGATCGTTAGATCAAAAGTTAAAATTTTGCAACAACACTCTAAAGAAACTTTATTCTTGTTATTATATAGATACTTATAATGAAATATTTAGCAAAATTCTAAATTTGTATGCCCCTCTTAAGTCTAAAATACTTAGAGGTAATAAAAAACCTTTTATAACTAAAGACTTATGAAAAGCAATTATGCTCCGCTCTACATTATATAAAAAATGCCTTATTGATAAATCTAATATTTCGGCGCTAATGTATAAAAAACAAAGAATTAGGGTAGTAAAATTAAACTGTAAACTAAAGAAAATTTATTTTGGGTAAATTAACACTCTCGCGATTTCAGATACTTCTCTCAGGAAGTTAACTAAAACATTTCATACAGATAAATCAGGTAACTCTCACGAACGTATCACTTTAGTTGAAAACGGTAACATTATCTCTGACAACTCTTTATTGACTAATATTTTTAATAAGTATTTCATAAACGTTGCAGTGCCTTCTGGTTGTAAAAACTCCATACATTCGTCTTTATACTCTTTCTCTATAAACCCAGTTGATGCAGTTATCAAAAGGTATATTGATCATCCCAGTATAATAAACATAAAGAAAAAATTTAGTATGTGTACACAAAGTTTTCACTTCCATCTAATTACACCTGATGATATTACAAAAATTATAGGGTCTATGAATAATAAGAGAAAAACTAGTGGTGATATACCAACTTTTATTTTAAAATCTTATAATGTTTACTTTAGGGACAGTCTTACAGATTGCATAAGTAATAGTATCCATGATGGTGAGTTCCCGTCATTTCTAAAAATGGCTGATACTATACCATGTTTTAAGAAGA